ATTGTCTTCATAATTCTGTGCCTGTCAAACTAGAATAACATTACAAATATCTAAGCCTAAGAGAATTCGAAAAATAATTACATTTATGATGCAGATTTTACTTGTATCCGTCTCTTCTTGAATTCTTCATTGCCTTCAGAATTCTGTGCCTGAGAAGCTAGAATATTAAAAATATCTAATCCTGATAAAATTCGTAAAAATATTTACATGTAATGTGTAGATTTTCCTTGTATCCGTCTTTTCTTAATTTCTTCATCGCCTTCAGAATTCTGTGCATGAGAAGCAAGAATATTAAAAGTATCTAATCCCAATAAAATTTGTAAAAATATTTACATGTAACGTGTAGATTATCCTTCTATCCGTCTTTTCTAAATATCTTCATTGACTTCAGAATTCTGTGCCTGAGAAGCAAGAATATTAAAAATATCTAATCCCAATAAAATTCGTAAAATTATTTACATGTAATATGTAGATTTTCCTTCTATCCGTCTTTTCTAAATTTCTTCATTGACTTCAGAATACTGTGCCTGAGAAGCAAGAATATTAAAAATATCTAATCCCAATAAAATTTGTAAAAATATTTACATGTAATGTGGAAATTTTCCTTGTATCTTCCTTTCCTAATTTCTCCATGGCCTTCACAAATCTGCCCCTGAAACGCTAGAATACCATTAAAAATATCTAGACCTAATAAAATTCCTAAAATTATTTACATGTAATGTGTAGATTTTCCTTGTATCCGTCTTTTCTTAATTTCTTCATCGCCTTCACAATTCTGTGCATAAGAAACAGGAATATTAAAAATATCTAATCCTGATAAAATTCGTAAATATATTTACATGTAACGTGTAGATTATCCTTCTATCCGTCTTTTCTAAATATCTTCATTGACTTTAGAATTCTGTGCCTGAGAAGCAAGAATATTAAAAATATCTAATCCCAATAAAATTCGTAAAATTATTTACATGTGTAGATTTTCATTCTATCCATCTTTTCTAAATTTCTTCATTGACTTCAGAATACTGTGCCTGAGAAGCAAGAATATTAAAAATATCTAATCCCAATAAAATTTGTGAAAATTTTTACATGTAATGTGTATATTTTCCTTGTATCCGTCTTTTCCTTACTTCTTTATAGCCTTCAGAGTTCCGTTCCTGAGATGCAAGAATATAAAAAATATCTAATCCCAATATAATTCGAAAAATATTTACATACAATGTGTAGATTTTCTTTGTATCCGTCTTTAATTTCTTCATTGCCTTCAGAATTCTGTGCCTGAGAAGCTAAAATATTAAAAATATCTGATCCTAATAAAATTTGTAAAAATATTTACATGTAATGTGTAAATTTTCCTTGTATCTTCCTTTCCTAATTTCTCCATGACCTTCACAAATCTGCCCCTGAAACGCTAGAATAACATTAAAAATATCTAGACCTAAAAAAATTCGTAAAATTATTTACATGTAATCTGTAGATTTTTCTTGTATCCGTATATTCTTCATTTCTTCATTGCCTTTATAATTCTGCCCCTGTAAAGCTAGAATAACATTTAAAATATCTAAGCCTAATATTATTCCTATTATTCCTAATGGCGGGAATGGGTCTAAATCTATCTATAACAAATAAAATATTAAAACAAAAAAGCCATGGCAGCCCTGTTAATATATTTCTTCCTTTGTCGGTGTCACGATATCCTGTTTCCTGTGGAAAATATCTTAAAAATAGAAGAGAAAATAATGAATATGACAAATAAGATAGGCAAATATGGATACAGCATATTACTAAAAAAAAAGTTTTATTAATGAATAATCGATATCATTATTAAACATAAACTTCGTGCTTTATTGTATCAGTATTAATATAATCCAGAAAATATTATATTAAAGTAAAATCAAAATAAACACTAGTTGGAAAGAGTAAGCCTGCCTAACGAAACACATGTAACATATTTACCTGTAATCTCTTTTTTTCAATTTTTTCATTGTCTTCATAATTCTGTGCCTGTCAAACTAGAATAACATTACAAATATCTAAGCCTAAGAGAATTCGAAAAATAATTACATTTATGATGCAGATTTTACTTGTATCCGTATCTTCTTGAATTCTTCATTGCCTTCAGAATTCTTTGCCTGAGAAGCTAGAATATTAAAAATATCTAATCCTGATAAAATTCGTAAAAATATTTACATGTAATGTGTAGATTTTCATTGTATCCGTCTTTTCTTAATTTCTTCATCGCCTTCAGAATTCTGTGCATGAGAAACAAGAATATTAAAGATATCTAATCCCAATAAAATTCGTAAAAATATTTACATGTAACGTGTAGATTATCCTTCTATCCGTCTTTTCTAAATATCTTCATTGACTTCAGAATTCTGCGCCTGAGAAGCAAGAATATTAAAAATATCTAATCCCAATAAAATTCGTAAAATTATTTACATGTAATGTGTAGATTTTCCTTCTATCCATCTTTTCTAAATTTCTTCATTGACTTCAAAATACTGTGCCTGAGAAGCAAGAATATTAAAAATATCTAATCCCAATAAAATTTGTAAAAATATTTACATGTAATGTGTAAATTTTCCTTGTATCTTCCTTTCCTAATTTCTCCATGGCCTTCACAAATCTGCCCCTGAAACGCTAGAATAACATTAAAAATATCTAGACCTAATAAAATTTGTAAAATTATTTACATGTAATGTGTACATTTTTCTTGTATCCGTATATTCTTCATTTCTTCATTGCCTTTATAATTCTGCCCCTGTAAAGCTAGAATAACATTTAAAATATCTAAGCCTGATATTATTCCTAATGGCGGGAATGGGTCTAAATCTATCTATAACAAATAAAATATTGAAAACAAAAAAGCCATGGCAGCCCTGTTAATATATTTCTTCCTTTGTCGGTGTCACGATATCCTGTTTCCTGTGGAAAATATCTTAAAAATAGAAGAGAAAATAATGAATATGACAAATAAGATAGGCAAATATGGATACAGCATATTACTAAAAAAAAAGTTTTATTAATGAATAATCAATATCATTAATAAACATAAACTTCGTGCTTTATTGTATCAGTATTAATATAATCCAGAAAATATTATATTGAAGTAAAATCAAAATAAAAACTAGTTGGAAAGAGTAAGCCTGCCTAACGAAACACATGTAACATATTTACCTGTATTCCCTTTTTTTCAATTTTTTCATTGTCTTCATAATTCTGTGCCTGTCAAACTAGAATAACATTACAAATATCTAAGCCTAAGAGAATTCGAAAAATAATTACATTTATGATGCAGATTTTACTTTTATCCGTCTCTTCTTGAATTCTTCATTGCCTTCAGAATTCTGTGCCTGAGAAGCTAGAATATTAAAAATATCTAATCTTGATAAAATTCGTAAAAATATTTACATGTAATGTGTAGATTTTCCTTGTATCCGTCTTTTCTTAATTTCTTCATCGCCTTCAGAATTCTGTGCATGAGAAGCAAGAATATTAAAAGTATCTAATCCCAATAAAATTTGTAAAAATATTTACATGTAACGTGTAGATTATCCTTCTATCCGTCTTTTCTAAATATCTTCATTGACTTCAGAATTCTGTGCCTGAGAAGCAAGAATATTAAAAATATCTAATCCCAATAAAATTCGTAAAATTATTTACATGTAATATGTAGATTTTCCTTCTATCCGTCTTTTCTAAATTTCTTCATTGACTTCAGAATACTGTGCCTGAGAAGCAAGAATATTAAAAATATCTAATCCCAATAAAATTTGTAAAAATATTTACATGTAATGTGGAAATTTTCCTTGTATCTTCCTTTCCTAATTTCTCCATGGCCTTCACAAATCTGCCCCTGAAACGCTAGAATACCATTAAAAATATCTAGACCTAATAAAATTCCTAAAATTATTTACATGTAATGTGTAGATTTTCCTTGTATCCGTCTTTTCTTAATTTCTTCATCGCCTTCATAATTCTGTGCATAAGAAACAAGAATATTAAAAATATCTAATCCCAATAAAATTCGTAAAAATATTTACATGTAACGTGTAGATTATCCTTCTATCCGTCTTTTCTAAATATCTTCATTGCCTTCAGAATTCTGTGCCTGAGAAGCAAGAATATTAAAAATATCTAATCCCAATAAAATTCCTAAAATTATTTACATGTAATGTGTACATTTTTCTTGTATCCGTATATTCTTCATTTTTTCATTGCCTTCATAATTCTGCCCCTGAAAAGCTAGAATAACATTTAAAATATCTAAGCCTAATAATATTCCTATTATTCCTAATGGCGGGAATGGGTCTAAATCTATCTATAACAAATAAAATATTAAAAACAAAAAAGCCATGGCAGCCCTGTTAATATTTTTCTTCTTTTGTTGGTGTCACGATATCTTGTTTTCTGTGGAAAATATCTTAAAAAAAAAATAGAAGAGAAAATAATGAATATGACAAATATGATAAGCAAATATGGATACAGCATATTACTAAAAAAAAGTTTTATTAATAAATATTCAGTAGCAGTAATAAACATAATACTTCGTGTATTATTGTATCAGTGTTAATATAATCAGGAAAATAATAATTCGAACTAAAATCAAAATAAACACTAGTTGCAAAGAGTAGGCCTGCCTAATGAAACAAGTGTAATATATTTACCTGTATCCATTTTTCTTAATTTCTTCATTGTCTTCATAATTCTGTGCCTGTGAAGCTACATTAACATTAAATATCTAAGCCTAAAAAAATTCGAAAAATATTTACATTTATGGTGTAGATATTTCTTCTGTCTTTTCTCGAATTCTTCATTGCCTTCAGAATTCTCTGCCTGAGAAGCAAGAAAATTAAAAATATCTAATCCTAATAAAATTCGTAAAAATAAATACATGTAATGTGTAGATTTTCCTTGTATCCGTCCTCTCTTGATTTCTTTGTCTTCAAAATTCTGTGCCTGAGAAGCAAGAATATTAAAAATATCTAATCCCAATAAAATTGTAAAAATATTTACATGTAATGTGTAGATTTTTCTCCTATCCGTCTTTTCCAAATTTATATGGCGAGGAAACAAAGCCATGAAGTATTATTTCATTCAATTATTTCATCAAATAATTTTCAATAAGTTAAATTATCCACAGGGATTGTATACATTAACCATTCATTAAAAGAACATAGCATATTAATACTCGCAATAAACTATAAAGAAATAGGGAATATATTTCTAGATTTGAAAACTTATACATAAAGGCATGGGCTCTAAGAACACTATTTTTGAAAATATGATTTCAAAACAATCGCACTACAAATGAGAGTTTTAGGATGTACCTGCATAAAAGTGAATAGAATTCGCATTTTTATTTTTTCAAAAGCTCAAAATAGTATAATTTTATCACAATTACGGCCAACAAGGCTCATTAACGCAACGCGCGTATTTTGTTTTTATTTTTTGGCGCTTTAAATTTCATTATTGTGATACGAAATGTATTTAAGCAAAGCATTTCAGTAATCTGTCGGCTAAATTTAAAATAACCGACGCCAAATCTTTGTCTTCCCAAACAGAGTTTAACGCACAAACACATTCTGTCTCATAATCATTATTTCAGCTCGGCCTCATGTTAGGACTCAGTTTTCTTTTGTATATATATTTCAGTGCATGCACACAAGTTTGACCAGTGCTCCGCATTTCCAGCAGAGACATTATCTAGCATATTGGGTAAAATGAAACCTAACGGTTCAAATGAATTTGCTAAGAGAGACAAAATCCGAAAAACTTTTGCTTTCAATTAATATATTTTCGGTCAAACATGTGCACCAGTAAATAGGGATATTTTTCATGAATCTGTTGTTGTGCATCGCTTTCAAACATCTGATCAAGCGTTTTTGTTATGGCGGAGATATAGTGTGGGGAATCCTGTATAAATAAAACATGGTATTAGGAACAAACATTTTGCAGTTCATTTCCCTCTCTTCACCAAATAGTTTAAGATTTTTGCAAAATACAGCATTGCTCTGCAAAAGTACTCGCAAGCTTTAATGAAGATCAAACTGATCAGTATCGTTACGACTAAATCGGAAAATTCTAAAAATTCAATGATAGTCCTCGTGTTGCGTTCTTTTAAATCTACCAATTTATTACGCCTCATCAGAGAATTAGAAGTGACCATTTCATTTCTTTCTCAAATTTGTGGAAACGTTCAGCGCTTTTTTGTTGATACGTTTGCTTTCATTTCCCCAATATTTGGCTCAACATTCTTACTTTCCATCTTCACTCTTTTACTTGAGTAAAAACAATAAACATCATTTAGCATTTATCAATGTATTTTTGTACGGCTAAGACATTCATGCGACAATGACTTAGAATCAAAATATTATTTATCAAATTTCTTTGTATTTAAATAAAAGATAAAATTCACCAAACTCAAATCTGGGTCGGGCATTTAAGTTAACGACAGATTTAAATCCAATTCAATTTAAATTCATCATTCCTATCCTGAACCCTAAACCAAACTGAACAATTACTAATTTGGTATTTTAAAGCTGGCGGGGATGTTTCCCCAAATCTCTTATTTTTCCAAAGAAACATTCTCAACTGTCGTAATATTCCTAAATAATTAATATACAGTACAAATGAAATTGATAATAAAACACTAATAGGTCTTTTCAAAAATATTGAAAAATTTAAATATTCCATTAAATCGAGCACTAATATAAAAAAAACTTGGCTCAACAAAAAGTTGTGGCGGCACAATGTGGTATTCGAAGATGGTAAATTTGACAAAAATTGAATAATATCAGAAGAATTTTTAATTATTTCGATCTAATTTCGGCTTTAGGGTTAAAATTTGAATGTACCAATGACTTTTCGAACTATGTCATTATCTGAACTATCTGAACTATGTCAAGTTTTGGGTTCATGAATGACAAAAAATGTAATTTGATATGAATTGGATAGAGATTTCATCAAATCTATTTGTACCTGTCTGTATCTGCTCTCGCGAAATGGCAACATCAACAAAATAATACTACGTAACGCTGTGTGATTCATCTTGAAAATCCTAGGTTTTTCATAACAACCCAAGATGTTTTAAAGTCATAAGCAGAAAGCATCTAAGGCAGTGGTTCTTAAACTTTGTGAGCCTGCCGAACCCCTGCGCTATTCTGCAAGCTCCCGCCGAACCCCATTGTACTGAACAGTTGAAATCAGAAGCCAAACCGTAACGTCATAAAGCAGAAGCTAATGATGAAACCTTAGATATCAATAACCATGTGGGAATAACCATTGTTTTGTCACAATGGCGTTGGCGGCAGAATGAGCAGATGGTTTTTGTTGTATAAGTTATGCGGGTGAACCGGCGAAAACTGATAAAAAATAACTTTGAAAATCCGAAAGATGATAATATACCCCATAAACGTTGGTAGTTCAAGCAATTTGTTCTCAAACTTTAAACTGCGCTAAAATGCGAATAAAATCGTTTGCCAATTGTTTTATTTTACAGAAATAGAGATAGGATTAATTCGGCGCCATATCGAGGTTGTCCTGAATGGATCATAATAATTTCGGATAAAGCTCTGCGATAATCTATTCCTTGTCGCAACTTTATCACCTAGTGAAATTCAAACACGCTATGATTTTGCATTTATTCATGTACAATTACTGCCTATCTTCGAGTTAAATTTTATTAGTACGGTAGAATATGAATAGGGGTAACACCAATTAATTGTTTCATTCAATTGTTCAAGTCATTAGTAATTAGTCATCATGAACTATAGTTATTTTTGCATAATTAGTATGCAGGGTGATAAAAAAAGTCTCATAATATGCAACTGTTTCAGAGCACCTTCGTCGCACCCCTGGAACAGCTCCACCGAACCCCAGGGGTTCGATCGAACCCAGTTTAAGAACCACTGATCTAAGGGCACTATCATATAAGCACAAACACCAAAACGCGCGACATCCGTGGAGATGACGGGTTCACTAAAACTTAAAACTGCTCAACGCTATAAAAACAGCAACGCTAATTTATCAGCTGTTGAACGTGTAAGTTTAAATATCTGAGATGAGCTGTAGTTAAATTTGAATAATTTGTAGACGATATGATAGAAAAGTTTCATATTAGAAAACTGTTTTAGTTTAAAGCACCCTTGTCGAACCCCTGTAACAGCTCCATAGAACACCAAAAATTCGAACCATGGTTAAAAACTACTGTTCTAGACTATTGAAAAACTAACAAAACGCTATGGCGACGAAACAAACCCATAAAGTACGAATACAATAAATACTATAAAATGAGGCCGACCACTTGTATGAATGCAACCGCAAATACCCCATTGCCAGTAATATAACCCCATTGCTGGCGACTGGCGCATACTTCGAGACTTGCCATCGATGAGAGAACCACCAAGAAAGAACATAATCCGCGTCTTTTCGAAATTATGTATACGAAATGAACAAAGAAGCAAAATTTATTGCATACCTGCTAATAGCTGAACACCTGTCCGTGAACTAGCGTGTGGAAACCATTGCATTACATGACTTTTCAAATTTATATTATAATTGGGCAAAATATTTTGGACAATTTGTGAGGATAATTCAAATATTTGCAGCTCTTCCTGACTAGCGGGATTTAACATGATATATCAGTTTATACCTGACAAAATATGAATTGGAAGATTTATAAGATTACATACTTGCTCTTTAGACTATATAGGCTTCCATCTCACTCCGTGATGCACCAGACTATTAACAATGTCGTTCGATGCGATGACTTTTTCGAGCAGTGTTTTAGAAAACTGAAAATAAATATATAGTTTCATTATCAAGTTTTGGATTTATAAATCACAAAGAATGCTGTGTGACAGAGGTAAAGCAAAGATAAGCTTATATTAAAATTACATAAAAAAATCAATTTAATGTCCTGATCAAAATCAGAAAATTCTGAAATTTATTAAAAAAAAGTCCTGATGTTGCGTGCTTTCAAATCTACCAATTTATTACGCTTTATTAGAAAACTAGAAGTGGAAATTTCATTTCTTTCTTAAATGGCAACATCAAATAAAATATTACTATACGTAACGCTGTGTCTTTTTTCAAATCCTAGTTAACCTTAACCTTTTCGAGCCTGTCGAACCCCTGCGCTATCCTCAGTATCCTGAAAGCTCTGGCCAAACCTCATTGTACCGAACGGTTGAAATTGGGAGCCCAATCCTAACTTTATAAAGGGGAAGCCTAATTTCGTGCGAGGTTATAGGAAATAAAAAGATTCAGCTCGAAAATCCTTGGAAAGCATCTAAGGGCACTATCATATAAGCCCAAACACCAAAACGCGCGACATCCGTGGAGATGACGGGTTCACTAAAAACTTACAAACTTACAACTGCGCAACGCTATACAAACAGCAACGCTAATTAATTGGTTGTTGAGTTTAAATATCTGAAATGAACTGTAGTTGAATTTGCATAATTAGTAGACAATGTGATAAAAAAGTCCTATAATATAAAACTGTTTTAATTTAAAAGACCCTCGTCGAACCCCTGGAACAGCTCCAATGAGCACCAAAAATTCGATTGAAACATGGTTAAAAAACTACTATTCTAGACTATTGAAAAACTGACAAAACGCTAAGGCGACGAAACAAACCCATAAAGTACGAATACAATACATACTATAAAATGAGTACCGACCAATTGTATTAATGCAGCCGCAAATGCCCCATTGGCATTGCCACTATTATAATCCCATTGCTGGCGACTGGTGCATACTTCAATACTTGTCAAACGATGGTAGAACGCGTAAAAAAAAAAAATAATTATGCGTCTTCTCGGGAATTATGTATACGAAATTAACAAAGCAGCAAAATTGATTGCACACCAGCTAAAAACTGCACACCTGCCCGTCTGTATTATTTGTACTGTATATTAATTATTTAAGAATATTACGAAAGTTGAGAATGTTTCTTTGGAAAAACATCCCCGCCAGCTTTAAAATAACAAATTAGTAGTTGTTCAGCTTGGGTTTGGGGTTCAGGTTAAGAATGATTTACAAATTTGAAATGTGCATTCGGGAGTGTTTCTGAAATAAATGCTTCCATTGAATTGGATTTGAATCTGTCGTTAATTTGATTGCCCGACCCAGATTTGTGTTTGGTAAATTTTAATTTTTCTTTAAATACAAAAAAATCTGATAAATAATAATTTGATTCTAAGTCATCGCCGCATGAATGTCTTAGCCGTATAAAAATACACTGGAAAATGCTAAATGATGTTTATTGTTTTTACTTAAGTAAAACAGTAAAGATGGAAAGTAAGAATGTTAAACTAAATATTGGAGAAATGAAAGCAAACGTATCAACAACAAAGCGCTGAACGTTTCCACGAGTTTAGGAAAGAAATGAAATGGTGACTTCTAATTCTCTGATAAAGCGTAATAAATTGGTATATTTAAAAGAACGCAACATGAGGACTTATTATTGAATTTTTAGAATTTTACTGAACGATACTGATCATTTTGATCTTCATTAAAGCTTCCGAGTACTTTTGCAAAGCAATGCTGTATTACATAATGGTATTTTGCAAAAACTTAAGCTATGTGGTGAAGAGAGGGAAATGAACTGCAAAATTTTTGTTCCTAATACCATGTTTTATTTATACAGGATTCCCCACACTATATCTCCGCCATAACAAAAACGCTTGATCAGATGTTTGAAAGCGATGCACAACAACAGAATCATGAAAAATATCCCAATTTACTGGTGCAAATATTTGACCGAAAATATATTAATTAAAAGCGAAAGTTTTTCGGATTTTGTCTCCTTTAGTGAATTCATTCGAACCGTTAGGTTTTATTTTACCCAATATGCTAGATAATGAATGTCTCTGCTGGAAATGCGGAGCACTGGTCAAACTTGTGCTTGCACTGAAAAATATACACAAAAGAAACCGAGTCCTAACATGCGGACGAGCTAAAATAATGATTATGAGAAAGAATGTGTTTGTGCGTTAAACTCTGTTTGGAAAGACAAAGATTTGGCGTCGGTTATTTTAAATTTAGCCGACAGATTACTAAAATGCTTTGCTTTTATACATTTCGTATAACATTAATGAAATTTGAAGCGCCAAAAAATAAAGAAAAATACGCGCGTTGCGTTAATGAGCCTTGTTGGCTGTAATTGTGATAAAATTCTACTACATTGAGCTTCTAAAAAAATAAAAATGCGGATTCTACTTACTTTCATGCAGGTACATCCTAAAACTCTCATTTGTACTGCGATTGTTTTGAAATCATATTTCAAAAATATGTTAACGTAAGTATAAATATTAAAGAAAACGAATCTCCCAAATCAAATAAACCCTCTTTGGTTCAGTACGAAATATATAACGCCGTTAACATTATAAAGAGGAAAATATGGAAATATCTGTAAAAAAGAAAAATTCTGTTCATTTTGAACTTCAACGGACATTTTTTCTGTAGTTCTTTGCGTTTCATACTTTTTTTATTTGTTTTTTGTTGTCAAGACTTCATGAAATTATTAATTTTATAGTTTTTTTTTCTCTTGGTTTAAAAAAGACCATATAGTGTGAATGTTTACACGCATTTTCTACTCGAGGTTCTCGCTTATCGTTTGTGCTTCTTTTTTCCTCTAATAAGAGGTCATCTATAAACTTGTCCTGGTATCACGATGCCATGAAAATATATTGTCTTCTGGTAGTCGCGTTTTTATTACTTTAACTTGGTTTATATTTTAATGCTCGACACAAATTAGGATAATTTTAAGTTGAAACAGGTCCAAATATTACCTGAGAACAGCTAAACTAACGCAATATGCTATGTTCATTTTGCATTAATATCGTCTGCCCTGAATATTAATTTTTTAATACCCTCCGTAGCCGGTCGTTCTGGTGCCATTTTACTTGGTTTTTTTTTGTCAACCATTAGGCCCTAAAGCTTCACTCATGGCTTTTTATTAGCGTGTGATAATAGAGCTCTATTCAGCAATTTTTGTAAAACGCACTCATCTAAAAAAAAAAATTTCGATAAAAAATATTTTGGACATCTTGTGAGGATAATTCAAATATTTGCAAATCTTCCTGACTAGCGGGATTCAACATAGTATATCAGTTTATACCTGACAAAATATGAATTGAAAAATTTATAAGATTACATACTTGCTCTTTACTCTTTGGACTATATAGGCTTCCATCTCGCTCCGTGATGCACCAGACTATTAACAATGTCGACTCCGTTTGATGCATGACTCTTCCAAGCAGTGTTTTAGAAAACTGAAAATAAATACATAGTTTCATTATCAAGTTTTGGAATTATAAATCACAAAAAATGCTGTTTGACAGAGGTAAAGCAAAAGTAAGCTTATATTAAAAATACATAAAAAATCAATTTAATGTCATGATTATGTGTATACCGAGTCTATCTAACTTTAGGTGGAACTAAATTTCGTTGATCTAAGACATTATCAAGTTATTTAACTCACAAAAATTACTATTTGACAGAAATACCGAGAAGAGATAAAATGTACGAACTATGTCATTATCAATCTTTGGAGTTTTTCGTTTATTCTAAATTATTTTCTGATTTCCACGAAAATTACAATTACAATGATACAAAATTACAATGATCTGTCAGTGCATTATATTGTAACTCATTATATAAATATAGACTAGTAAAATATTTACTAGTGCAGTGATTTTCTTACGGTGGGGCGCGCCTCACACGTGGCATAAACATTTTAAGGGGACGTGAAGCTGATTGATGGAATTTAAAAAAAGGCGTAAAATCTTGTCCGCCTTAGTTTCTTAATTTATTTCATTATTTTCGTTCCATTCACGTATTTGCAACGCGCTTCTTCTGCCCTAACTATCTGTGTTTTTGTAGCACATTGTTAACTAGTTATTTTGAGGTGGGGCGCGAGATTTGAGAAATTCCAAACTTATGCGGGTTAAAATGTTTGTGTACCACAGGCATTTAGCTTAATATTCAGGTCATCTCTTGTTTTTCTTCCCAACAACTAAAAATATATATTTCATCAAATAATTTTCAATAAGTTAAATTAGCCACAGGGATTGTATACATTATACATTCATTATAAGAACATAACATATTAATACTCGCAATAAACTATAAAGAAGTAGGGGATATATTTCTAGATTTGGAAAATTAATACCCTCTGTCAGATTCACTTACATAGTATGGTACTTCGCGTACCCTACCATTTGTGGTGAAAACGGGTTTCAAAATTGGTAAAAAATGGTATAAGCCATGTAAAATGATAGAATGATAAGGACTATGCATTTAACGAAGTTAGACATCTTAGCTCAGGTACTCATGATAAACGATTTTAGGGTCGTAATATTCGCATTAATACAGCGTCATACATGGATACATACACGCAAGAATAGAAGATATGAATACTCGCACTTAATAACAGGGCATTAGGAATAGTTCCTGCTTCGAACACTTATCAATAATAATTGTATGGTTACTTGGACTACTAAGGATTGCCTGCGTCGAACACTTATCAATATCAACCGTATGTTTACTTGGACTAACTAGAATTGCCAGCTTCAAACACTATATCAATATGAACCGTATGGTTACTTGGACTACAAAGGATTGCCAGCTTCAAACACTTATCAATATGAACCGTATGGTTACTTGGGACTACCAGTGATTGCCTGCTCCTAACACTTATCAATATGAACCGTATGTTTACTTGGACTAACTAGAATTGCCAGCTTCAAACACTTTATCAATATGAACCGTATGGTTACCTGGACTACAAAGGCTTGCCAGCTTCGAACACTTATCAATATGAACCGTGGGGTTACTTGGACTACCAAGGATTACCAGCTTCGAACACTTATCAATATGAACCGTATGGTTACTTGGACTTCCAATGATTGCCACCTTAGCACACTCATCAATATGAATCGTATGGTTATTTGGACTACCAAGGATTACCAGCTTCGAACACTTATCAATAGGAATTGTATGTTTACTTGGACTAACCGGAATTGCCAGCTTCAAACACTTTATCAATATGAACCGTATGGTTACTTGGACTACCAAGGATTACCAGCTTCGAACACTTATCAATAATAATCGTATGGTTACCTGGACTACCAAGGATTGTATAGACCATGGTAGTTTACAGTTACATTTATGAGCTTAGTCGGATTCTTTTTTATAGTATATACTATTTTGTGGCAAAAACGAGTTTTGCTCATAAGATTAAACAAGTAAATTTTACACAGAATAATAAGGACCATGTTATAAATAACGTAATACCCGTATAAATAAAACATAAGAAATATAGACATGCTCAAATATATTGACACGAAATTCATAACGAAATTTTTTACCATCATTTCCCCGGAAATCATATAGTTTTCGTGTCCCACGCGTCCCATGGGAAATACAAATGTGTGTTGTCCCATCCCATCTCATGGGACGTTTCCCATAGACAAGCCTGGACATAAGGTAACTATTGCGATAATGCGTATCCATATTAAGTTTTTGCCCATTTGGAAGCGTTGCCACAAAATTTTAAGATGGTAAGCTGGAGTGAATATTTAATTATTAGATGCAAACAGCTAATTTTTAAAGAGATGCTAAATTTGTACAATATTCTGCCTGAAACTCAGCTATTAAAAATGTACAACGATACTTCAAACACTCACTTACGAGAATTTCTTCCTTGGTCTATTAGTGCATAGGTTCTCAAAGAGCTCTGTGAGAGAAACTTAGGCGCTCCGCGAGCCATTCGATTGATATTGAAATACTGACTTGGCTAATTTTGTGATTGTACAAAGAATTAATAACATCATTATTAAAATTTGACATCAGTAGCGTCAAAATATGACAACGTGCGTAAATTCAAATGTGATATTATCTAAAAGTGGGATCGCAGTGGATAAATGGTTGTCTCTCGAGTAAAATATTCAATTCATAGTCGGTGCGAGCCAGGGATGGCCAATATCGAATAGTTCACTATTTCGAATACATTCGAAATTATTTTTTTCGAATATGAAATTTCGAATACTTCGAAAATAAAATCCACTAATTGAAGCTCATCTAAATGTATGTAGGAATTTCCATATAATAAGCAATGGAATAACTGCTATCTACAAGTTAAACCTAGCTATATTACCAGGCATTTCATATTTGCAGATTATTGCAGTATATATTTTATATACCACGAGTAATGTTAACAGAATTAAATTAATACGGCAATAGTGGTATCGATGATGGATTTGAATATTTGCGTAACACAAAATCATCTTAGTAAAACGCCCATACTTTTAAATACCAACCATTATCCGAATTATTTGCCAAAAAGTGGGATAAAGTATGAGTTATTTTTCCGACTTGTGACAACTTTTTCGTGAGTACAAAAATACGAATCAAAAATTAATTATATTCGGGAACTTTACCACACATTTTAAGTCCGCAGATCGCCGTTGTATGTTTGAGTAATAATACTTTTATTATTTTATAAATATGAAAATAGGAATCAAAAACTATTTATAATTGGGTAGTTTACCACACATTCGAAGTCCACAGATCGCCGTTGTATTTTGTAAATACGAAAATAGGAATCAAAAGTTAATATTAATCGCGAGTTTGCCACACAATTTATGTCCACAGATTGCCGTGATATTGTGCCGAATATATTTAGTTTTTGATTCTTATTTTACGAAAAATTGTCACAAGACGGAAAAAAAATTTATACTTTATCCTCGCTGTTGGGAACTAATTTGGATAATGGTTGCCATTGGTTTGTATTTAAAAGTATGGACTTTTTACTAGGATGATTTTGTGCTGCGCAAAATATTCGAATCCATGACCGATACCACTATTTAAAATGCCTGACCGTGTTAATTTAATTCTATTATCACAACTCAAATGTTGGTAAATCGGGCAGTTCACCACACATTTTAAGGCCACAGATCGCCGTTGCATTTTAGAATTATAATAGTTTTATTATTTTGTAAATACGAATCCGAAATTAATTATAATTGGGCAGTTTACCACGTATTTCATGTCCACAAATACCGTGGTATTTGGTATTAATACTTCCATTATTTTATCAATATAAAAATGGGAATCAATATTTAATAATATCGGTCAGTTTACCACACATTTTATGTCCACAGATTGTCGATACAACCATGAGTTACATTGAACAGAATTAAATTAATACGGCATGACATTTTAAATGCTGGTACCAGTCATTGATTATTAGCGCAACAAAAATCATCCTGGTAAAGGATCGATACTTTTAACTATCGTTATCAGAATTATTATGACTTGTTTTTCCAACTTGTGACAATTTATTGGATATCGTAACAATGACGGCTATAAATACCGTATTTCCCGGCTAATAAGTCCACAAGGCAAATAGGACGATGTCTATTTTTAGCACTCAAATAAGTTTTTTTCCATACAGGCCTCCAATAAGACGGGTAGAAAAATTGTGTTCCTGTTGTTCAGTTATGCTGATATGCGCTAATAATTTTATATGTTTAGAACCAGATCAAGTTAGTTTGGTAGAATCGATTCTACCAAACTAACTATTTTTAACAATTGAGCGGTAAATTTAAGTTGTAAAACGGCAATCATTTTGGACAACCTATTAACCCGAATGTTGAAATAATTTTGGAATGTGATAAGTAATACACTGTACGTCCACGGGTTATTTCACAGCTGTGTTTTCCTGTCCCTGTCGTGTTCTGCTGAATCGGCAAAACGAAGGGGTCACAAATCACTTTCTCGGTGGCCGTGTTTCTCATATTAAAGTAACCATAACCGGTCTGCGATTAAATATCTTGATTGGCAGACCCTAAGACCCAAATATAAAGTTACACAAATCATGCTTGAGAAGACTCATGCGAATAAAAACAGACCACATAGAACTACATACTTTCTCAATTAGACGCCTCCCTAGAAAAGCGACTTATTGGCGGGAAATACAGTAATTGTCAATTTTTCGACGTAATGGAAATGAATTTGTAAATTAAAAGCCTCGTAAACGAATGTCGGCAATGTCCACCCACGCAAACGTGCAAATGTGTCGCAACACTATGCGACGTACGGTCGCACAGAATATAAACAATCAAAGTGCCGATCGTCATTACAATACGTGAGACAGCGTAAAAAGTCGTTTGAAGATTCCCATAAAACGAAACACCACGATTACGGCGAAAAGTGGCTACTATTCGGAATTATTCGAAAAACAGCCGAAAAGGTATTCGAATACTTTGATATTCGAATACATTCGAATATTCGATTCGTTTTGGACAAATCTGGCACATTTAAAAAATCTTGTCATAGTAATTTATTTGTGTTCTTCGTTACTCGAATTTTAGTCGAGAAAACTTTTACGATTAATAAAATGTAAAATTACTATTCAAAAACTGTATAAAATACGTTCCAAACCGTCAACTATAAGTAGACCGGAATCGTATTTTGAGGTTAGTCAAATTTGATTTGTTTTTAGGCACTCAGAATTATTTTAAAAATATGGACAAAATACGGACGATTGTAATTTGGAATATTGCAAAAAAATAATTGTTCGATATATTTTGCATTAATTATCTTATACATCGCCACATATCGAGATAAAGTCGTATTGTGTTTCGATTTCAGTTACTATATGGTATACAATTTAAAGAAATCTTAACATAACACATATTTACAATGTCTAAAAAACGTTTTCAATCTGCTGCGAGACTGCTAGGACAAAATTTATAGTGATATCTTCCGTTTTAGATTTTAGTTTCCATATTTTATAATGCCGGTTTTCAATCAAGAAATTGGGTTGCGGATTCACCTCTTTATCATTTATTCTTAGCATCTCTTCAGCGATTTTTATAATATAGCATTCTAACTTGTTTCGCACACTGAACTCGTAATTCCGCACAAGCAAAAAAGTTATCGTCGGCCTCGTCGAACAATACATTCATATGTCAAGGAAATTTGTGATTCAGGGAGAATAAGCACATAAGTTGTTTGAAAACACGTCGCGCTGACAAAAGCTTTAGGTGATTCTACCAAAATGCCATCGCGTATGTTATTAGGACTTTTTCAGTATTCCAAAAACACCAAAAGGGTGTTCGACCCCAAACTTAATCTTTGTTGAGTTTACAGCCTTAATATATTTAATTGATCTGGGAAATATAGATTTATTTATGTCTGGCATTAAGCCTATTGAAATGTTTAGCATTCAAATTAAATAAAGCAATTCTAACTTACTTAAGAATAGTAATAGATAACAATTTGAAAATTCATTGTGGGGATCCGTGAATAATGGTGATGAATGTAGGAAGATTCAAAAGATTTTAATAACATACTTGCTTTTTAGACTCGAGGCAGCGACTTCTCTCAGTGATGCATTTTCGGACAAATAATTCCGCATGTCTTTCGATATAATGATAAATTGTCTTTCCCGCTTTCAAGAAGTGTTTCAGAAAGCTGAAATTTATAATAAATAATGAAATAGGATATAGATAGATGATAATGAAATGTAGGTAAATGTTGTATAATATTGATTTGAATTATATATAGTTGTTCGAACTATGTCATTATTAAGTTTTAGGTTACAGAAAATGTAATTTGGCAGGAGCACAGAGAAGCTATGCGTATACTTTAGAATTCAGGGTTTCCCAACCCGAGTCCGCGAAGCGTTTGAATGAGTCCGCAACGAGCCAGAAATTCACTGCGTGCTGCAAACGATTTTGCGAAACTTAACTATCAGCCAAGTTACGATTTACGTTTGAATTTACATAAAACATAAAAGACAAGTTTATTCACATAACATTATTCGAGTCAATAATTACCGGTTAATGAGTAGGACTGGGCATATATTCGAATATTCAACTATTAGAATAGCAATTTACTATTCCAAAATTTGGTAACAGGTGACAAAAACACCTTTCCGACGAAAACACGAGACACGCACACGTTTCGATAGAGTTCGCGAGTTCGAACAACAAGGGATATTTTTTTTTTGTAGGTGGTAATGGTGGCAACGGTGGCAACCCAATTTTTCTAAATTGAAAAGCAGCAATACAAAATACTAAAAATAGAACGGATAACACCATAAGTTTTGTTTTATGATTGTCCGCGACCGATTAGAAACGCTTTTTCAGACATTGCAAATCGCAAAATTTCGGGTGCTACCGTGGTATACGTACCAAGGCATTTTTCCTAAGGATTCTGGTACGTACAGTACCGGAGCGCCGTAAGTGTTGTACGAACAGCTCAGATTTGTCGAATTCACAAAAATACGTAACAAAATATATCCGGGCACTTCACCATATTGGTATTTTCTGGGCTTTTATTTCGTCAACACAATTGCAGATTAAAATCATCACGAATTAACTTAATAGTAAAGCATGGCGATGGATATGTATTTTTGATTTACTAATAAACTTTAAATATATTTTTAATAAGTGGAAAATCAAGTTGTACTTTCTGGAACTTTACAGAAGCAAGTAGAATTTTTCTAACGGAGATAACAAATTCGCAAGATCGCAAAAAATATGTATAAAAACTAAATATAATCGGGCAATAGAATCTCACATAATTATGTTCGCAGATTGCCGTGGCATTTTAAAGAAGTAATGCTTTCATCTTGTCATAAGTCGACGCAACCGCAAGTTACTATGAACACAATAAATTAAAATAGAAAGACATTTTAACTCATGGACTGAATATTGTGCAATAGAAACGGCCATTATACACTAAAAAAGTCGACTCTTTTACCGAACGCCTAATTGAGGCGAATTTCCGATTTTGAAATTTTAATGTTGTGATCGGTTTTATTGCTTCTTCACACAGAGTACGATTGCAATAGACGCTCTTTGAGTCCGCAAAGGTTTTCGCCCTCGAGAAAACAGTCCGCGACCAAGAAAGGTTGGGAAACGCTGCTTTAGATACATAAAAATAAAAATATTAATTTTCAGTTCATTGATAAATTATTCACAGATTTCCCCCAAAATTACAAATATTTTTGTCAGTGTATAATATTGCAACACATCATATAAATTATATTTGATCTGTCAGTGTGATAAATGATCTGTCAAGTGTGCTATGTTGTATCTCATTATCTAAATCTTAACTAGTTAATTATTTATTATTGTGTTATATTTTACCTTCAAGTTCTCTATAGTCTTTCCTTCCCAGCGAATTCCTGAAAATATACGTCGAAAAATAACTACCTATATATTTATATAAATATAGGAACATGACAGATGATTAATACGGAATAAACGATAGGGAAATAAGGAATATATTTCCAGATTCGAACACTTATGAACATGGGACGGTATGATTACTGAGACTACTAGCAACGGGAATATTGACCGACTATAGTTGATTTACAATTTGGGGGGATATCATGTATATAGTAACCTTTTTGGAATCAAACTGATAATCGAGCAGCGACACAAAGGTTTCTAATATCTAATTAAAAATGGAAGAGTTCTAGAATTTTGAAACTACGATAGCTCATATTGACGGTGAGTGCCGTATATGGAAGATCGGATCAACTGAAGAATCACCCCTTCTTTGACCAGGTGAATACCAGTTGATTCTTCATTTGACATGGACTAATATTTTGGTATAAAGTTGAGGTTATTAGATGGTCTTAGTTAGGGAGGAGATTCTACAGTTGGTCTTAGTTGGGGGAGGGGGATTTTTCAGTTGATCTTAAAGATCTAACTAACACCGTTCAGTAGAGATTATGTAGGAGAGTTTATATTAATTGAATTCTTCTTAATACACATGATTAGGCATAACATGACGTGACCTGCACTAACAATAGGGAAAATATGACACATATTTCCATGTCTCTAAATCTAAATCATGTCTCTAATTTACACAGTATCGTATTTGGAAATTTTAGTTAGAACACGAGTTCTTTAAGATATAAGATTAACGGCTATCTTAATACAGTTAGTATGACGCACTCTGATAATATCATTATTGGAAATTTGAAGCAATTCCAGTTTGAACTAGTTGGGAACATCAATGACATGGTCATCAACTCTTCACTACCATAGCGTGCAGGTCACGAAGAGCCACAGTTACATTTAGAAAATTAGCCTGATTACTTTATATAGTATGGTAGTTAGTGTGAACTACCATTTGGGCAAAAACGCTCATCAGATTAATAAAAAAGGCCAGGCCTATACGATTTAAACAAATTAAGCATATTAGTGTATATATAGGCACCCTATGATAAACAACAAGTTAAACAATAAGTTTTAGTATTTGCATGGTTGTTAAGTGGGGTTGTGTTTTACCCGAATTGCACTTAATGAGGAATAGTTCAAATCCTTTCAGTTCCTCAGCAGATATACACTGCTGAATTAACTTATAGTATCACTATGAAAAAATTTCACTGTTTGTCGTAATCACAACGTGACGCCTAATTGCGATGAAACGCCTTTATTTT